GCCCCTTTTGACAAGTGTCAGGCTGCCCTTAGTAATGGACTCGAAGGTATTGGCGTGGCTTCGTCTATGGTGCAACTGGTGCGGCTCACAACTATGGGCAGCCAAAAGCGCCAACATTAATTTTAACAAAAATAAACAATAACAAGCAAACAGCACATTCTTACTGAAAAATTAAATAATAAAACAAGACAAACGCCAAAAACCATTTACAACACAAATTATTAAAAAATTAAATAAGAAAAATTAAAAGTAATATGTCACTAAAATTAATTTCACCAAAAATAAACGATTAGGCCTACGGGCAAACATTTTCTTATCAAAATGTAAATAGTGAAACACAAAACAAACACAAACATCATTCATAAAAGAAATTATTTAAATAAACAATCAACATTTGAAAAAAAGTTCCTAAAATGACAACAGTAAATCAAAATACGGGTTTTTTTTTACAAACAAACTCAACGCAAATCAACAGATAAATTCTCAAACCAACTAACTTGGTTCCATCGTTGGGAGCGTCCTATGCCATGCACAACCATGTGTTGGGCGCAATTGGTCGATGTCCACGATCGCGCGATCTTGATTCGGCCTGTCGATCTTGTTGCTCAATATTATTTGGCAATAAGTTTGACATCATCTTATTGCCCTTCATTTAGTTAAAATTTATGGGAGATGGTTTCCAAAAGGGGAAGTAAAGTTGGAGAATCCTTGCAATATCTACTGATTGCGCAATGCGATCGTGCGATGGTGCAGATCGACCGAGAGCGCCTAACACATACCAGCGCAGCATGCATACAGCGACAGGCAAGCGCAGCGATAGGGAAGGGACGTAATCATACATGTCGCCTCTACGTCTTAAGTTTGGTGGAGTGGAGTACGGCCGCCATCATGAATTTCAAGTTTGGTTTTTAATAAGAAAATGCTGTTTGCTCGAAATTGTTATTTTTGGTAAAATCGATTTTGGCCGTTTTGACCGCCCATACACGACATGGGACTGTGGGGGGATGATCCTTCCGTGGATACCCGGAATCCTGGTTTCATTCTGATGCCAAAATAGACGGCCTTCCTAGTCCATGCAACGTAAAATCAGGACGTAAAATTCGTGACTAACAGAAATGACGTTTGCAGGAACTGTAAGACATTTGTATCTTCTGAAATCTGGTGAAGTCTTTCTGTCGCTGTTTGAATGCAAAGCTGGTATGCAAAGACGAAACTCAGGAGAAATTAAAAATGTATTCCTTAGCTTCGTTAACGAAATAAGTACACGCATTTAAACAGACGTTTAAATGAATAGAAGCCTATCAACTTGAAGACGTCGTCCTCTAGCTCGAAGAAAGAATTCCTCTACTTAACCCTACCAAGTTATACAAACTAGGCGTGAAGGTTATTAATCCAGATACGAGAAGCGTTTTCCGTTGCATCCGTCATGGATATTATGGTCATGGACTAATGAACATGTGACATCTCCGGTTGCCCGGTTGACTCCAACTTGTTGACACTGTAGGATAGCACTGTAAACAGTGGCATTCCTCGCATCTCTTCGCGGGTAAAGGAGTAAAACCCTCTGGCTTCGTAGAGTGCTATCCCACACGGTTTGCATCCATTGGTCTCTGCGGGCCTGTTCGTTTCACACGGATGAACCCAAAGCTGGTCCATAAGGCGGGTTTTTGGTGTCGGACAACCAAATTTGTAAGATCAGCGATACGGATCCGTGTGACATAAACAGGCCACGCGTCCACAATGCCGGCAAACAAACGCCTCCTTGGCTCGATGTTTTGGGCTTCTTTTGCTAACACGTGGTGGCACACAACACGCTCGTCACATTTGTAATTTTCCATGTGTTCGAGCAGTATCGAGTAATAACTAATAATGCGGGTTCAAAATACAGAAAAAAAATTACTCTAATACCTATATGACATAAGTAAAGATAAACCGAGGGTTTTTAAAATGGATCGTACGTGTCCTGACACAACAGGCCATTGTAATGATTTGGAGCCTCGTGGAGATATTTTATATTGAAGTAAAGCGCACGAGCATAATTCTGTACCTCCCAATGGCGACTAGTGGCGTCAAGCATTAGGCCACGATGCGCAATCCATATCAGTGATTTGTTCATTGTGGTACGTGTCACCTCGGCCTGATCACTGCCGCTTTGACAGACCAATCTTGTAAAAAGTGCCATTAAGTTATGAAGGTTCCCCATTGCATCTGTTACATAATCCATTTTGGCCGTGGCGAAAATCTGTGCCGGGGGAATGGGAAATGACTAAAATAGAAAACGTGCCCTGTTTTGGAATTCGTAAAGGGGCGAGGGGGGATTACAGGATACGGCATATTAATTAAAGTTTCTGTATTGTTTCCCTTTTCAGTACCATTGAATACATTTTGGGTTCTTGGAAAGTTAAAAAATACCTCAAATCCTGTTCTTTTTTCAGCCACAAAGGGGAAGGGGGGTCCAATATAGCTATGGGATTTACCCGTTGAATTGTTTAGCAGGTCTATTCTCACGGTAGCTGACCCTAAGATATTTCCCCTATTTGTGAGCAATTACCTTTCTGGTAATTTAATGTTACATCAGCAGAGCAGATGAGCATCTCTCTCCTGTTTTGATGAAATGTTTCACACACAACCCTACTCCCATTTGGCTCACTCATGCATTTTACCGTTTAGGAAACATGGCAGTGTCACACTGCTGTTTCCCAGTACAAGAAAAAGTACCACGAAAAACTTCTGCATTCACCAGTTGGCTACAGAAACAAATCAACGATAATCATCGGTTCAAGTTCTGCTGAGTGAGAGATGAACTATTATTCTCTTCTGGTGAACCTTCGCATTTTATGTTTGTCGAGCATTTCACTGATCCACTTTGAAGCCAAATGGAGAATGTTTACACATGATCCTTCCACCCTCAACATCAAGAAATAAAAAGTGCCATCATACTAGGGAAGAGAACAGGCGCAAACAGATGAGCAAATATTATTGGGCGCCCATGCGGATGGCTGAGGCATGGCGGCTTTAGTAAAGATCTTTCGACACACGATCAGTTTGACCTGTCGCTGGTGTTTTGAGCGGAATTCTACACCCTGTTCATCCTCTGTGTAAAAGATGTTGTTGCTGCTACAGACTCCTCTGCCCCGCGGGATTCAGGCTGTAGACACCTGATAAAGCTCATCAGAAGGTCGGAGGGTCCATCTTTCTGACGCTCTGCATTACTAACTATTCAGACTACATGTCTTTATGAAAGAAATGGGATACGGAGGGTTTCAGTGACAATCACAACCGCGAGAGAAAAAAGCGGCTTTTTGCGTTCTTCCTGCCTTTTGGAGATACAAATAAGATATTAGTAGTTTCCTTTACTTTTTAGATATAAGTTTCCACTCTTGAAGTTCTGTTTTGAAAATTTTGAACTCAAATATAATGTTATGTTTTCTCGTTTCTTGTAAGCTGAATGAAATTTGTCACCGTACGCTAGTCAGCCGCAATTTATATCTAATATACATGTGAGTTTGGTTTTGTTTCTCTGGCCCAACTTAATATGAACTTAACATAGCAAAGAGAGGCGGAACTAAAGTTTGCCTTGATCCTTAACGTCGTGTGTCGACTTTTTTTTCAAGTATTATCCGTTGGCACTTTTAAAAACCTTGTCGCCTGGCATGATGATTGGCATGTAAGTTGTGTGTGATACGCCTTCATGACTTGCCTATATACGTCCCTCACTTCCAACTGTTCCCCTGAACAGATCTTGTGTGGAGCATTCACAATCAAAATCCAAAATGACTTACACTCAGTACTTAGGGTTAAATGAAAGCAATCAGGTACAGTATCAAGAAGAACCAAACCAGCTCCACTCAAGACCGGATTTTTTTTTGGGGGGGGGGCAAAACAAGTACGCAGCATCCCCGCTGCACTTTTCCATTAACTGATCGCACCAGTCACAATCGAACAGCTGCGCGGAAACTATTTTCCTGAACAAAATGGCTCTGCCGATACAAAACCACCTCAATTTAAGACACTTAAAAATTTCACACTGATTGTTAAAAAAAATCACCAGTTTTTTTGGGGGGGAGGGGGCGGTGTTTTACAACAGAGGTGGACGCGCATCATTTTAATTGGCAGACAAGGAACAACATACTGAAGTCTTGGTGGCGCTGTTGAAATCATTCAACTGGAGCTGTACACTGAGAGAGTAGCGCCAACTGTACTTTGGAACCAACAGAACTGTTCATTGTGAGTGCAATACAGCATGCAGCTATTGTGTGATCCACAATTTTGGATCCACTGATTGAGACACTCATGTCGCAACTCTGAGTAAAAAGTTCTGTGTTCAGCGACCTTCCACGTAGCGTGGTGGCGCTATTGATATCAATTGGTAGTTGTGATCGACAAGCATTTGTCACAAATTAAATCAAACAGATGTCTTCCCTTTAAAGTCTTTCAAATGAAATGATATTTTATGAACAGAAAAAACAGCTTCCATTCATGCAAAGCAACGGCTGAAATTTAAAAGCGTATAATTTATGTCCTTCGGAGTTCGCCACACCTTTTGGGTTACAAACCTAGTTTTGATGCAGATTCTGCAAGTCTACCTGTGTATGACCTGCCTTGTAATGAGTGTTCAATAGTTAGACTCATCTGCTCATGAAGTTCAAAAGTGTCGCTTGTGACTGCTTTTGCAAACCATAGGAGTGGATGGGGACATATAAACCGCTCAGTTGAAGTTGAACCAAGTTGAACCTACTTTGCAGGTTAAAATTGCCTTTATACACAATTTTGACATTTCTGATTATCAAGTCGGCTTTCACTTTTTAGTCTATGGTGAATAAAGATACACATTTTGTTGTTATATTTCAAGTAATGAAAAAATGAGGAAGTGCAATTTGAATGTTGGAAGACTCTAGTCTTATGAATTGAAAAAAAATATCACTTTTACAAGGTTTTTCAGAAGTACTAAAACCACGAGAATTAATTGATTCATACTCACGAGTCATCTTTCTTGACTGACACGACAATATTTATTTATATCTTACTAAAATGACAAGCTGTCTTTTCAATATGAGTCTAAGCATTTCATGAGTGGAAAACAATTGATCTTGTTAGCCTGATTATAGTATGGTTTAACAGAGAACGCCATATTGTTATTTGTTTAGTGCTGTTTTCCTTCCTGATAACTGCAACGTAATTAGGACACTGACATTCCTTTGAAATCCACTCCGAGTCTGCAAATCTCCTGCCTAGTGTGGCAGGAGATTTGGGAAATGTGTTGGACTGGGGAAGATGTTGAGCATTTTTGGTAAAATATTGGTAAAACGTAACTGCCCAAAAGGAATCACGTACATTTTCGGGAGACAAGTATGATATTTTTGATTAGCAAACGTCACAACTTTTCCGAAACAAATTGGGTACTAATTGGGACATACGGAATTTGGCAGAATTAGCAGACAAGGAGTCTGATCACTTATATGACCTCATTTACGACGGTACTCTCACTTCTGAGGCACTATAGGAGATATAGACGAAAGAAAAAAAGCTTATTATTAGCAACTATATTTTGTCATTCTGATTTTCCTATTATTCATGGCAGCGAAAAACCATATTTTTTTTAACGGATGTCCCACTTTCTTCATCTTTTGGTCAGTGGAAAAACTGGGATATATATCTCTGTTGTATTTCCTTGATTTCAAACAATGGATATAATTCTGACGTTTCTCAGAAAACTTCCCAAACATCCAATTTATAAGAATACCTGTATTATTGCATTCCATGCCCACTATTAACACAGTGCAGCCTTTTTATCAGTATTGACTCCATATCAATCGCATATTACATATAATTTAAACACAAGTGCCAGTAGCAGAGTAAACTGGGAAACATGTTTTCAAGTATTTTACGCATCAGCTAAAAACAAACACCAAAGAACACAAAACAAAAAAGTGTCATATTGAGGTACAGCAAACCCTGATTTAGAATTCTGAAAGAGTCTTTAAGTGAAGACAAGATGATTCTGTAATAAAATCCAATGTTGTTGTTTTCTAGAGATCGTTTTTTCTTTCCTGGAGCACACAACAGATTATTTCTTAAACTCTCGTCTCCTGTCCTGATACAGCCGTGTAGCAGTAATTATAAAGTTCATCCTCAGTAGGGTGGTATCTCGATGTGGGAGTCAAGTCTGACTGACGGCCCTGGTAAAACGAAAACAGGAGGCAGCGTAGTAAAGTTAACAATTATTTCTGGTAAAAAAAGAGAAAAAAACGAGTTAGTCCCAATCGGTTGTTTAGAGTATCTCCCCATCCAAAAAAATTGCAAGACTATTTCACAGCAAACGTAGCTGGCATTCAGACATCCCATACCGTGGCCCATTACAGTGGTGTTCTGCATTGAAAGGTGAACGGAGAATTAAAAAAAGCAAGTGTTCATTTGCCAAGTATTTCTGGTTCCCCAAAATTCGATAAGCTGTAGTGTAACTTCACGAGGAATGGGAAAGCTGTTCAGACACCATTCAAAGACACATGGTAAAACTTTCGTTTTGGAAATTGGCTTTCTTTTCTGTAGCATGATGTACTCAATTTTTAACGAAATTCATTTGTGCTTTTTAACTTGGTCTCATGCATCTGAGCTTCACATTTCTGTATATAAGCCTCACCTTGTTCCAGTAGTTGATGAAGGCTGCCGCAACGACGACTGCCAGCATCTCCAAGGTGAAACAGATAACCAGAGACAAGGCGCCCATCGGAGCACCGTGCATTCTGAAAGGAATAGTTGATATACCTAATCAAAGGTACCTTACCAAAGTTCCCAACAGAATCGGCCAATGGCGTGCTCCAATTGATCATGAATATTTATGAGGTGTAATGATGATTAATACTATTGTTCATAATTAACACGTACAGGATGTCGATCAGAAAAAAAATTCTATTTGTGTGGGACACAATGTTGTGGTTAACGTCATTTCTTGGGATAAAAAAAGGTAAAAGGATACGAGTTATACGTCAAGAAGCCGTGGAGTTCTAAAGAAGAGTGCAGGCATACGGAATTCCCCCAAATTGTCAAATTAAACTTAAGGAATTTCAGCAGAAATAAGTGGTGAATGTAAAGTCGAGTACATTTGTCCTGTACTAACAGTCATTTCTCGACATATTTACCCAAGAACCGGAAGCACAAACACGGACGCTACAGCGAAGACGAGACGCACTGCAGCACTAGGGTAGACGGCTTCTGCTCTCTTGATGCACATCAGCCAAGATGTCAGGTGTGTTCTGATTGATACTGAAAATGAAGCAAAGGCCTAGTTGAAACAATCTCTTTTGATTTTGCTCTGTGCGTTTTCATTTTCCACTTCATTTAACGGTTGGATGAAACATAGCAGCTCAATTGGCCAACGTAAAAAGGACTTAGAATAACACAAGGAAGATGGGACGAAAATGACATGACCGCCTACCTGTTATTGGAATTGCTGTCAATATTCTTAGTGGTACGATGCACATATCAGCAATTGTTTTGTCCAATCCTAATAAAGTCATCAGTACATTGTTTATGACGTCAGGTATCCAAAAGAGAATAACACAGATCTACATGACAAAGTCCGGAAGAAAGGTGAATGCTTAAACAATAAATACCAAAGAAAATTTTAGACTTCCTTTTTCCAACTGATGATTTTTACAGTGGTTTGATTTTAGCTTGATTGCGTTGTATACTCACTGTTAATGAAATCACGAAGTAGCCGATGTTGAAACGCGTGATGTGGTGGACGGTGTTCCGTCTGTTATCGTTTTCCACGGGTTCTTCGCTTGGCTTTAGGGTGAAAAAAATACAGGGTTTCAACATAAAAAGTATACCGAGATAAAAATTGCACAAAAGTGTCAGATTGCATTGACAGCACATTCAACGTATGAGGTAAGTAGCGAAAACAAAGCAGATAGGATTCATTTGGATACATTCCTTGTTTTAAGATTTTTTAAGATTACTTAAAAACTTTTAAAATATATAACCCCTAAAATATTCCTCCCCTGAACATTTGGTTCTTGATTTGCCTTCGAAGGGCCCTTAATAATCATGCCGTAAATTAAATGGCTCATGGCCAATTAAATCTCCCTGGTTTTAGCCAAAACGGAAAGTTAATGACAAGCATTTTCATAAATATTACATCAAGATAGAGTGGAAAGAGGAATCTTCCATCGATGAGCCAGTGGTAGGTCATCATTGATGTAGGGTAGCAGATTGACAGCGTTGCAATAGCCTACGATAAAAATGGATGTCTCGTGTCAGAAATGTTGGACAGAATTGCTGGTTCCCAATGCAACTTAGTCTTCGTTATTTCATTCCAAGTGAGATTGCACCGACACAAGCGACATGACTACCTTTCCATAAGTTATACCAAGCAGGAAGAAAGATTTGGCGTTTTAAATTCGTTTAAAACTCACGAAACAAACTATATTGGAATTGCATCATTTATTAAAATTTGTCATAGTCGGCGATTGACTGCAATGAAACCTGCTCAAAATTTTTCATTTAGCTTTGCTTGTCGGCATGGATATGGCTTTAAACGAAATAATTTTATTCTTTTATTGTAGTGGAAAACCTTTCAAATTTCAAACAACAATGTTGGTCTCTGAAATACATTCTGAACAAAATACTTTGGTTTACTGTTTTCTCAGTTTCCTTTTTCCTTTTTTTTTTTACCTTGGCCGCTTCCTCTGGGGTGTCTGCAAGATCCCGAGCAACGAGAAGATTGGTAAGTGGGAAACTAACATTCTGACACACGTTCACAATTGCCAGGGGCAACCAGAAGGAATAGGCTTGCCTCGCTGTAAGACGCTGCAAAATGATTTGCAAAACTCATTGCATATGTAAAACTTTTGAAAACATTTGGGAGCACTGAGATGTTGCCAGCAGAAATTGGCAAGCAATCGACTGCATTGAGCGATACATCAAATTATGTCAAGTAGATTCAAAACAAAATGTTACGAGTTTAAGTGCACCTGAACTTCTGCACTTGCTTTGTGAAAATATGGAATAATCTGTAAACACAAGTAGCTTTGTTCGAAAATGCTATTGATGTTAACTTTAAGAAAATCATCAGTTTCTCGTTCAGGGAGGCGATGGCTAGTCGCCAATGGTCATTTGTCTTTCATGGACTCCATCCTGCGTCTGTTTTCTTTGGCCTACTGAGGCCGGCTTTGTATCACAAGGAGTTGGACTTCCACCTCACAAAGGATGTGGTTAGTAACATTTTCTTTTGCTTTATTTTGTTGGCCGAAAGAGATCCATTCAGGGACTTTTTCAGCTGAGCTACGAAGACAGACCACTTTTATAAAGGCGATATACAGTGTTTTTTTCACGCTGAATAGTCCGCAAACCTACCGCATTTACAGGCGTGTCCCTTTCCAGTGTGCGATGTAAGTACTTAACATATCCTGCCAATGCTGTAGATACTCTTAAAAACATCCCCGTATACATGGAAAGAATTGGGATCAGCAGCGGCCTAGTCTGTAGTAGACTTGTCATGGGTAGTAGAAACAGAAAAACTACCTGCAAGATGAGAGACAGACATGTTTCAATGGATCACATCCAAATAAAAATTATGATGGTTTAGTTCCACCTTTTACCCAGTGTACATCCCGCTTATATAACATTGTTTGCACAGTGTTCGTCATGAAATGGCAAAGTGAAGGGCTGAGGCGTAAATAGTTGCTGGGGACTGGGGGTGACTTTAAAAGCTTGGCCCAGCCGCGGAAATCGAAAAGGGGGAGGGGTTGCTGGATCCTACATAGGGGCGCTAAAAGTGATACAGACACAGAGCATTTTATTGAGACAAATTTAGACATAAGTGTCTTAATTGTTTGAACCAAAATGGTGGCTTATGCGTCAGTGCTTGTGCACATGCACAGTTAGCACACAGTAGCTGCATGTTGTTATGCACACATAACTAACAGCCATTGTGGTTCCAAACTCTGAAGTTGGCGCAACTTTCTCTATAAAGAGCTCTGTACAGACGTACCTGTATACATCTCATTTATGTACAGCTACACGAATTTATCTCACATCAAAACAGCGTTTTCACTGCTTTTGTAAGTATTCTTCCCTCTTTAGTACTATTGAATACATGTTCGTAAATACACCTCAAAATCCGTCATTAGTACGATCCAAGAACCCATCCCTCCAGTCAAAAGTGTGCCCTCATCCCCCACGATTTACGCCAACGGTGAAGTGGGACAGTAGTCGAACGAAGGTCATCTCCGCTATTGTTTCATTTCAAAGGAAAGAGCAGAATGTAACCCTATGAAAGTTAAAGCATTTTCCATCTAAAAGAATTGAACAGAAGAAATGTTCTTGTTTTTGGGTTTGGGTTTTGTATTAATTTTGTAATCATTGATGTACCTAACACAATAAAAAAAGCCCAGAATTTCTCCATTAAAGAGCACCTCAAAGGAAAATCTTTTTTCTCTGATTCTCATCTGTTCAAGTAAATATGGAAGCATCCTAATCGAACGCAGTGTTATTTGTCTTCAGAGCTTAACTATAACAAGCTAAAGGGCTTTTTTCCTGTTCATGCCAAGATGCATGTAGATTGCCTCATTCGGAGAAAACAGAGAAAACAAGGGGAACCCTCGCCCTGTGTTTGTATTGGATAAACCCTTATGCTTGCTGAACATGCATTGCTTCCATGTTTATTTGAACAGATGAAATCAGAGAAAACATGCTTCCTTAGAGGTGCTCTTCCAAAGGATTTCGTTTACTGTTTTGCACTTACCCGAACCACAATATCGAGTACCTGGGCTGCCCCAACAAACACACTGTGCTCTCGAGACAAAAGTAGGCCAAACAAAAACCAGTTCTGTATATCAGTGGTACAAATAAGATATCAACAGTAAATAAACAAGACATAAGTGTATCTGTAACTTTATGTTTAACTCATAAAGTGCACACATGCTTTGCGTGATATTTTTTCATAGCTATTATCGTCAATTCCACTAATATTTGAATGTAAGTGAATGCGATTATCAGCCAGGAGTAATTCTATAAAAAGTCAGTTGAAGAATGTTGAATGACATAATACTGCAAAGAAGATATTCCCTGATGTAATTCTGTGCCAACATATTGTATTATTCATGCTCTACCTAATCACTACTAACATTTCTTTTAATTATATGTATAAACTTAACAGATAACAATAACACAAGATACAAGATGCAAGACTAATGCTTTAAAACTTACCAATCCTTCTATCAGCGGCCATATTGCTAAATACAACATGCATTTTCTCACATCAAGAGCAACATCTTGGGATAGGTTATAAACGGTGTCAGTTAGAAATGTACCAAATGCTGTCAAACCTGCTAAAGATAAAAGAGGTACAGCAATTAAATATAAACTGAGATAACAATAATATTTTATTGTTTTTACATATTTCTTTTCTCAAATTTGTACACTTCTCAGCACGTATGGTCAGGGATATGACCATCACACAGCCCTGAAAAGGCGTTTTTGTTTCCACTGTGTTGTACAAAGTTGTCCATTCTTGCAATTAACAGTGCAGTTTTTGCAAATTCCAGGAAATGCGCAATCAAGCTAAGCAAGCAAACTTCCGATACTCCAAGGATTATTTTTAGGTGAGAACGTGAAAACTGCAGAGTAACTAGTGTAATACATAAAGGGGTGCGAGTAACAGTGTAAGTGTTTGGCTTAGTGAAACGAATACGTGCAACATAGTATAAGCGAGAAATTTGTAATTTCTGACCAATGAACTCGTACCGATCAGCAGTGCCGTGGCAACTATCAACACGCCTACAACAAGCATGCAGACCAACGCCACGACACCATCTCGTTTGCTGCGTACTAAGACCAGGCTGACATTGGTGAACTCGAAGACAATACCAACCATGAACTGACAGATGAAGAAGGCGATACCAAAACTGGCCAAAGCCTGTGTCGCATTCTCTGCGGAGGTTAGACCCCTACTCAGAGCCTCCAGATAAGAAAACGGAAAGGTTCAAGAATAAAAGTCGGCATGTGCACTGGGAACAAGGAAGCCTCTGTGTTATTACTTGCTACAGAACTTTTCCAAACACCAATGTAAATATTGCTGTTCGATTTGAAATTAGAAGTTCCATTAGCAGTAGTATTACGTATCTTATCAAAACGTTTCAGGTCAATTTGCAAAATACACGAAATTCCCATTCTAAAATATACGCGGGAAACCAATCAAAATGTTATCTTGTAGGTTGCACTTGATACTTGCAGCGTAATTATGTCAGGTTGGTTATTAGTTAAAATCTTTGGTTTCGAAAAATTTACCACATTAGGCCTACTGTACAGGCATCTCATTGTTTAACTGGTACAATCAACGTTCTAAATATCGTATTCCTTGTGCATCAGGGACATAGGGTCGCTTACACTGACCAAGCTGGCCAGAATTTGAACGCTTAACGAGCCTGGTCAGTTATACTTCACACTGGGTGTACAAACTTGAGCGCAGCAGATAGCAAACAGAAAACGGTCATGACCAACCGAAGCTATGTGGAGGCCTACCTCTACTTCCAAGATAGAATAATACATTTGGTTGCTACTACTCAAACCTGATTGCCGAATATGACGACTAACTTGGTGAACGCTAGCGGGACCATGAATTTAATGATTCGTGCATACGTGATCGTAGTCATGTTGCTCGTAGTATGAGTCGGCGCCATGTCGTCGGGCTATAGGAGTACCTCCTTTTATCTAGACATAACTCTGTGTTTCAGCTTGATGAGTAAATCTGTACATCGTCCAGTGGCGGCGGGGTTTGATGTCAGACAGTACACTGGACGGTACTCACAGACAAATGTAATTAAGTTGAAGCTTTTTCCTGCTCAGTTGTGGTAATGCGCGTCTGCTGCTATACCTGAATATAGCACGAACGATGTGCACTGCTGACTTAACCAAGTCATCTCCACTACGTGACTGCCGGACTCTGATCATTGAACCCTTTAATCCAGTAAAAAAAACAAACGACAGGTTTGTTGTTATATTAGCAATGTGTGGAGTGGCTCTCAAGGGAGAAAAGAGTTCGCTCATCGACAGCGCCCTCACAATGCGCTGGGCAGACAGCTATTTCGCGACGCATGGCGTCATTTTCTAACTAGATGTATCACAGATAAAAGATGCACCACCATAAGACGGAAATGGCAAGAAAATGAAACTTTAATATCAAAGAACCCTAGAACCAGCACTTTACCAGACATGGGGAAACGGTACAGGACCTCACCGAACTATACTGCCTATAATTTCCGCAGTCTGTCCAGAAAACAATGGATACAGGCAAATAAACTCAGATCAGAGCACGCCTGAGCGGAGTAGCTACTAACCTGCATCACCAGTGCTCTCGAGGCCCCGTCCCCCATATGCCCTGCATGCCTCCCCATAAGACGCTGCCCAGTTACTGCAGTCCAAGGGGGGATATGCCACAAAACACGAAATTGGAGAAGCTGGTGTAGATGGATTACGGATAGAAACCTGGAGGTGAGAAAGATACCACATCAAACTTCTACTAGGTCTATATTATGTGCATTCGTTGATATAGGGAGCAAGTAAACAGTGCTTTGCGCGTCAGTAGCTGCTCATATATAAAGTACTTTGAAGACATTAGCCCATGCCAGCGCCGGGACAAGCGAACTATTATCTAGGGCTCGTGGACACGGTAATGTGAAAACTCTCGAACAACATGTTGTATTTGAATATACCATCGCCTTAGCCGTATTCAGGGCCCGCTGAACGGCTAATCTCTTCCACTGAATGTTGTGACGGAAACAAAAATCTTGCATGAGACATCACCTTATGTAGGCTATGTTTATCTAGAAACGCTGATGGTTGGAAGATAAGCAAAAGATTATTTTTGTGGTAAATATGTTGTGCACAACAACCTCAAAAGCGAGCCACTTTGGTAAAAAACAATAATCATGAAAGCCATGGGATGGAGTCCGTCTTTGCCTCTACGACCTCAGTAAAACGAGGAAGTGCCGAATTATGTAGGAGCGTGCAACAGGTGGATTATTTTAATTCCACGTGCAATGAGTAAACTTTGGATCTGTGCCAGTTACCGAATGTTGTTACCACCCCCAACCCCCGTGGAGTCAGTGACTGGACAAAAATGTTCTTTTTTTGCATTTTCACCTGTTAGTGGCGTCATGAGAGTATAACTACTCATGCTTCTGCGGTCAAGTTCACTCCACCTTCCAAGGTCTCCAGTACAGCAGTTCTCTACGGCTTTGTGTAACAAGATGGGAAAGACCTGGAACCGGTCGAGAGTGCCGAATGCAGAAATTTCAAGCTGTTCAAAGAAATAGGTAGCCATTAGGGGGTCAGTGTGGACTGGTCAGTTAGAAGAGAATATGTACCTTTGCTTCAACAGAGCAAGCCTCAGCCTATAGGGGCAAGCTTATACCATAAAACACTGAGACTTAATATCTTGACATATTCTAGTACAATCGTATTTGTATTTTGCTCCGTGTACATGTATTCTGTATCCTTACTGAGCCATATTGTGTCTTATGATTTCCTGTGTTTTCTTACGTCTCTCATATCAGAACCATAAGCACATGTGGCATCCTGATTATGGTTTCGGTGCTCACCGCATTCCAGCATAGCAGTGAATAAAAACCTCAGGAAATGGAGCAAGACGATCATGGATGAGAGCGCGAGCTGTTATTGTCGTCCAAGATGTTGAAATCTAGGTGCACTGAACGTGTGTTGAAGTGAATTCGAAACAGGATCGTCTGTAGCACTGGCAATGATGAAGAGACTATGCCCCAGCGTGAGCCTGATGGAAATGCATCTGGGCCCTGCAGAGGACGAGAGGATCCTCTAATCCCTCAGTACCCAACCCTCTCAAGACACCAGGCTGACCAGACAGGTAGGTTTCCATACCATTGCCTATTAACTAAGGAAGCAGTGTTATTCTCGGGTTTCATGCACTTAACCAGTTATGGACGGCAATTTTCATTTCATATCCTACTGATTGTATGAGTTTATATGTGCATTGTGGAAAGATAATTCGTGCTTTTAAAATGAAGTGTTTAAGGCTCAATATTTCTCAGTGTTCCACAGGTTTCGATTTTCCGCAAAGGTCAGAGGTGTTTTGGGTCACCTAAATGAGCTAATATACTTGTGTATCAAACTTGTTAATCTTTAAGACTTTTTCTTTTCATGTTTACGTTTTTGGAAACATCCAGAATTGATGCAAACTGCTTTAAATGAAACCAAAAATGGCGTGAATATGTGTTAATGGGAAATCAGTAAACATAATCAAATGGAGCTTTTTCTCTGTAATTCTTGTTCAACTCCATTATTCATCATGGTTGAAACAATGCTTTTTGAATTAACTCTTTCTGAAGTTACCATTCCCCCTCATAATTATCCTACATTACAGATTATACATATCGTGACAAAGAGATTGGGTGCGACGTCATTGTCGCCTAGGGGATGATATACACTTACAAATCCTAAAATTCTTATCAAGATCTGCCCAAAAATGTTGGCGACAGATCACAGGATTAGAAGGATGTCTGCTATTACGAGCAACTGTCCTCGCAGGCAAAAACCCTTGATTTATAATTTTGAAATTTAATGGTAAAATCTGGACGGCGTGTCGGTTGCATTCTTCCTTGAACACAAATATTTGTCCATGACATTTGAGAGAGGGCGCTGTTTACAATACCGTTTTGTGGGAGACGGCTAAGGCGAACGATATCGTAAAAGACGTATGTGGTACTCTACTTAATACCTTCTCCATACTAACAAAAAGACAAAATCATCGTTGTATACTTTCGACAACTGCTTTGATTATTGTTTCGTTATTTTCTAACAAAATCTTAAGGTTGACGTGTTACATCTTCAAATGATTTTCGTGTTTGTCTTTGATAAATATTTGCATTCATTTCATATATTCATGTGACTTTTAAAAGTTGTAGTTAATGTTTTAAATGAGATTTGTTTTGGTAACATTATTGAACTGCTGAGACTGAGTTTGAATTTCATGTATGCTGTTCTGATACAGGTCCATAGTGCACCATCTAGATACAAAAGCCCATTACGGACGTCTTTTTTATGTGACTGGTTCACTGCACTATCAGACCATCGGAAAAGTCCAAATTTTGGGGAAAACTTTAATTCAAACACTCCTCAATTCCTTTTTAAAACAGTGTCCACACGCAATAAAGCTAGACTAGATGAACTGTTTTTGAAATACCATCCCACGTTGCTGCCTCTCATGGTTCGTATCAATACATAGAATCGGCTAACCAGTGGTGTGACCGTGCCCACGAGCATGGTCCAAAGCATCAACCGTCGAGCAACTTCGCTCCAACCATGGTTAACTGTGGTATCAAGGTGAGCTCCTCACGCCAAACTGTGTGGTCTGCAAGAGGCAAATTTCTAAAGTCCGTATACAACCAAGTGCGCCCTCTATTCTGCTGCTAGTTAGTCCACAATGCCCAAAACTGTATTTTACAGGCCCCTGGAGACCGAGCTCGAGAAGCTGGGACGTTTTTCTATGGAATTCCATTTCTATCACGTCATGTCTATTTCTTGTTCTTTTCAGCTATTATCCGTCTGTCACATGGTTCCAATGCCCGTGTCCCGTGTTGTTTTCCCCTACCTTGCTCACTCCGGTGCGGGTTTATTATTTCGTTCGTGCTTGCTTGCTTGCTTGCCCAAGCAACCAGACCGACAACAATACTCGAAACCCTCGGAGACTGCAGGCTTGGCGCCACTGCTCAGCTCGCGTGCAAAGTTCCCGAAGTCCGCCAAAGGCGCACGACAGCCTTTCTGGTGAAACTGCCAATTCTCTTCGCCAAAAGGGCACTTTGTTTGCCGCAGGTTGCGCGTGTTCAATGAGGCTTAGCATGGTAAAATTGGGGGGTATGTTTTATTTCCATTCTTGCGCATTGTATTGTTCAATATGGAAGAGATTTACGACTGGTGGATTGAGTTGTTTACACCGTCGAACGTGCTCCACACTCAACTTAAGCTTTGATATATCAGAGCAATGTGCCGACATCGAAAGTTTTCTGTTTCGCATGCGTTTGTTTGCAGCATAACGCGTGCATGAGTCTTGAATGGAAAATTGAAATTGTTTCAGAAGCGACATTTATCAGATACTGAATGTGATTTGTCACCCACTGGGTCGCTTTGACACAGTCGAACTGGTGACATAGACTGATATTCTGTTCGTGTCTTTCTGTCGCACTGTGAAAGGCGTGTAATTGTCAGGATTAGTTTGCTGGTTGATTGATAGTATCCATTGATTGACTTTGACTAGAAGATTAAGTGGGTGGTTTCCTCCTCGGGTGATGACTTTGTGCCTGCTTGCTACTACATGCTCTTCTTTTGGCTAGTTGGTTACCCACGCTCTACCCGTTTGTATGTATGGTTTCTTTGGATGAATTTTTAATATCTGTGTCATTTAATCCACGTTGAATTTTGCACTTTGTCAGGAATGAGAATTCTCCAGTGCCATCAAGAATGGACCTTGTGATCCTGTTGAAGACTAGAGAACATTTTTATTCAAGATTTCCTCGTGATTCTTCTGGTGTTGATATTTGAATTACAAACCCGTGTTCATGTCTTCCCTTTTGCCCATTCGTGTGCATAGCCCATTCTCAAAACGATGTATATTTGACTACTCAGAACCTGCTATCAAGCAGGATATTTTGCCATCTTTCCCAAATAAAAAGAGAGCAAATCCATTTGGCCTCTGACCGATAACACATGCAAATACGTTCAAGAATAGAACGTCACCGGTGGAACAATTTTAATTGGGTTATCTTTCGGTGTCGGTCATTCCGGGAGGTGTGGATGTGTGTCGTTGTCTACTGCCCAGTAGGATACTGAGCATATCACCGGGAACCGATTGTCGCTAGGCGACGCTGGACCGCCCGGCTTAATTTAAAGTTCATTCAGAAGCACAGTGACCTCTTTCACCTGACATGGGTGAGGTCACGTGTCTTTACTCGGGGTCAACAGATTTGGGAAAAATCTGTGGGTGAAACTAAAGAATTATTAGCCGGCAGCGTTCCCAGTGCATCTCTTGTGAGATGTATTGAGATGCTGCGCCATGAGTGTCACAGTTTAATGACGATACCAACTTTTTTCCGATCCGTTGCTGTTACAAGTTATATTCTCGACAGCTACAGTCGGTTTGAGGATGACGTCTGTATCGTTTCAGTGTCCAGTGGAGGACCGTGTAACAGTATTCCTAGGACAAATGAGTATGGATTTGATTGAACATTTATTAATAATGAGTAAGTCTTTCAATTTGGAGTGGATCTGCGATTAATGACACGTACATGAAACTATAGTTTGTAGAAAGTTCAGCCTTGCTTTGCAACATTTTGCTTCATTAGTGTTACAACGAGAGGCGTTTTTCATTCAGAATTTAGTGAAAGTATTTATTATTTTGTGTTTTAAACTCTGCGTGAAGTGTATTAAAACTTTAGGAATCATTGTTTTGGTTTTGTAGTCACGGCCAGCCGAAGTTTTGCCAATCACTGGTTGGCAAAAGCTGTGCTTGCGACGTAGAAAAAGAAAAGTTCACAAGCCTAAACGGTGCGTACTGACCGATGAAATCTGGCTGGTGTTCCCTTATGATGTACATTAGTAAACTCTTTGTGCTTTGTCCCTGAATTTGAAATGAATGACAGCCATTCAGATTTTCCTGAGCATTTTTGTGCTGGTCGGTAACGGGTTAATGCCACAGCGTGCAATGCGCTCAGTGATGAATCTGTGACAATTCTGACAGCTGTCCGAAGTCGTCATTTGCCAGTAACAACATTCAGTATTGATTCCTCAATGTTGCAGCTACATGCCAAGAGGAGGGTAACGAAATTAAACTTTCTAGGTGGTAAGAAGGCTCAAATTCACAATGTATTTGCCCACAGGAGCCCTGGGCGTAAGAGCAGTTGCCTACCAGCCCGCGGCTGTTTTGCCCACATTGACAAGCCCACCGCGCTGTGATGGTTAAGTGGACCGGGACTGAACTGCCAAATGCCCGTCCTGATCCTTCAGATCGGATCGCTGCGGCTTCGTCGGGTCGTACGTCTGTGAGCCTTCCGTATCGATACTGTGAGTGCTTTAAAGGTATCGTGCTGTGAAAACACCGAGCCCAGCCGCACATTGTTATCATTGTAGTTCCGACTTAACCTATGATCTCTGCTCTTGCTTTACCACAGACCACTTCTGAATCATTCCCATGGGTCGCATGGTGCAAACAATAAATGCCATCCAATCTAACGCAGAGATTTGTTCAGCGTGAATGTGTTTTAGCTAATAGTCCAAAGGAGAAGTACGTCTCTTGAGCCACTTGTTCTTTTGGGGGGTCAGTTTGCCCGAGTACTTGAAAAACCTGGTTTTTCTGCGTAGGATTTCCTCGTCAGTTTTGGAGTCATCCGGGCTACGGGTGTTATCGGGACCATTGTTGCAGTTTGCTAAAGAATTCAACGACCTGTTACAGAAGGACATGAAAAATGCTCAAGTGGAGGTCCAAGCTTATGTATCACCGAGACTATCCGTTGGTGAGTGTAAACTTCATTATTGTTTTACGAATGATATTTTTCGAGATTGGATCAGCCTACTGGCCCAGTCAAATTGTGCAGTTTGTTCGTATAGATGTTGCGATGAATTATCTCGATGGATCAAAATCGTGTTGCGCATGTGGTCTGTACCGTGAGTCTTCTATTACTTTTTTGATGAATTCCAATGACGCTTGCTCTTCGTATCTCACGAATGATTCTCTTCTGAAATCGTTAACAGATTAACTGTCTCCAGCGGCATACTTGTCGTTTGAAGATGTTAACTGGAAATATTTGTTCTTGGGTTTGAAAGGGATCCAGCGTCCACATATCGAAGAAAATGCATCTATCAAAGTATTTTTTTAGCGTTTTTGATGCTGCCCCTTTTTTTCTCCTGCCAAAGTCTGGTGCACGATGATACCCCTTACATCCCAATGCTGTCAGTGATCAAATCTGCTTCTTTGAGGAATCGCTGGAATGTTTCATTCTGCTCCAGTTCTTTTCGCTTGAAACAAGAATTTTGCTTATTTCCTCATTTCCCCTTCCTGTTTGAAATCTGGAAGAAAGTTGGAAGAAGAAAGAGATACGTAAAGTGTATCTGTCTTGCATTCCCCCAAATCTGTGTATATTAAGGGAGGGGGGTCTCTTCATGGCATACTCCTGGAAGACTTATTGCAGTAGACGTGTCGAGGTATATGTACACTCTGGAAAGATCGATTGACGCCAACTGTTGAGCATTGCCGGTCAGGGAAGAAGTGCAGATTTTAGGCTGTTTAATTCCTCAGGTTTTTTTTACACATTTCCCTCGAGTTTACACATTGGAGGGGTTTCACACAAGTTGTTTTACAAGCTTGCTGCCCTGTATTATCGTCTGGCCAGATAATTTAGTCATGTAAATGTGTGTCAACTTAAGAGTTGACCTATTACCCCATGTTTGCGCTTTACGATAAATGGTTAGACAAACATAAATTTCCAAATGCCTCCCTCGTTATAGGGGTACAGGAACGAACCGGTAGCAAGAATTGATATGACCGAACCCGTTGACCGCAGAGTAGCACAAAACGTCATGCAATGAATTTGTAACTGCTGCCAGTGCATAATTGGTTCCCATATCAACATTTAAGTGGAGGAATCCTCAGATGTAATAACTAGCTGGTTCTGTGGACGGGTACCCCGTTAAAGACACGCTTTTTCCCACAATGCATTCATGCACCCCCGTCATAACGGCGGCATTTAACAATGGACAATAGTGACAGATGATAAGCTGAACAGCTTTGATCAACAGCAGTGTATCATAAAGAGTTCTGCTATTGTCAAAGTGACTAATTCCGTCGCTGTAATTCGTCTTGCTTCATAAACGTTCATTTGTCATAAATCCAAACAAAAGGGAAAACCACTTCGAAAGGGTTGAATTCCTAGGGAAACAATTAAGATTTTTTGAAGCACTGTTCCAACTCCCTGTACTTTTCTTTGTGTGCCAACAACTAATTTGGATGTTTACATCTTTAAACTCAATTTATCTCTCTCTCTATGTGCCGATGCGAGCACTACTGTATATAACTGTTACACTAAAGAGCTAAGAAAGGAGACAAACAAAACATCTGCAGACTAGATCTAGGGATAAATAAATGTTGGAATATGTCCTAATGCGTAATATTACTGCATAATTTCTTGTTACAGGCATAAAGTGTACCCAGACTGAGACTGTTGTCACCAGCTAAAGTGCTAGCGTTTGCATGTCGGCTCAATTCTACTGATTTATACATATAGAAAACTATTACCTTTATTGCCGGTACACGACTATTGTGCATGTCCAAGAGCTTTTCATGCCAATAATGAAACAGACTACGCGGAAACTTAATGTAAACAGTAGTCCCAACAGCGATTACCGTTACCAACATGTCTTGCACGCGAACATTCTACGGCAATGCGCGATTGGGTGATGATAACGTCACACCGGTGACGTCACCATGAGGTCTTCAAATATGGCACGTTGGCTGGTGGGTTCCTAGGTTGTTTTATTCACAAGTCGGTTACTTGAGTCGAATGGGAGGCGATCGCTGAGAATATTGTACCATTTATATAGTGAAAAAATCGTGTTATTTTTGGGACCCCGTGCACAGCCATTACAAAAAGCATGACACCTTGTGATCTGTTAGTTTGGTTCAGTGGTGAAGCCAGGTTTTTCTCGGGAGGAGGGGACGGGGGGCAAGAGTTCTCACAGGGAACGTCTGGTGGTTTCTGCTATTGGTCGACCTTAAGCAAATGTGCAAACAAAAAGGTCAGATTCTGCTACTTGTTGTTTGTTTCTAACTTATTATGTTAATTTGAAGGTGAATGAGATGGCCCAAAATCCCCAGTCAGACAGATTTATTTAATATTAAGACCTACGTACATTTTGCGTGGACAGGGGCGGGGGCATCAGCGACCGAAAGTCACCTTCCCAAACGATCGCTTTACCGACCGTACTTGTGGATCCGCCATATTTTTGTCGTAGTGTCGTGCCGTTTCTACTTCTTTGACAAGGAGGAACTCCACACATTCTTTCCCTCAAATCTTATCAACGATGAGACAGGCCAAGGCTTCTCTTCCCCCCCTCAAGAGTTTGTGCATAGTGAGGAAGCCGTCATCTAAGAGCAGAGCATACAAATAAATAAAACGCTTCTCGGAAGTGCAGTCTGAAAATGATGTTCTTGTGAATAAAGCTCTTTCCTTGGTGAATTTTATAATTGGCTTTAATAAAAAATGAAAAATATATAGAGATAGAGAGAGTGTGTAAGGCCCGTAGATAGGCCTTTCGGGACCTAGAAACAAAACACCAAAATGACCATAATGCAAAAAATGCCGTGTCTCCCAATTCATATGGATTTGCATGCCCAGGTGTTGAGGAAGTTGACTGCACTTCGCTCTTCATGGCCGAGATAAACCTTGTGTACATTTGTAGGAGGGCCGCAGCTGTCAAAATGTTATAAATCTATAATCAAATCAACAACACAAACACAGGCCAGCCAGATATCTATCGCTAAATAGAGTAAAGGAATATGTTAGGCACCAATCTGATGAAGGTGGGGTGTTTTAGTCGTGTGAAGTCGCATGAAGTATTTTAGTTCCATGTCACTCTAATCAAATGTCACATCAAGACTTTGGATAGCAAATGGTAATGATAGACAAGCGAGATGGATCATACGAAGCTAAATGTGATTGTTTGAGCGGAATCTCATGACCTGGATATGATTTAACCAAGCGGTAAGACTTGAGCACACATTACAGGATAGTGAAGTTGGCAGTATTATCCGGGAAGTCAGTTTTAGTTAGTACAGCTGCGTTTGTTATAGACTGGTGCCATTGTAAGCTTATTGCGCCGTTCGGTTTTTAAGCTTGGTTGATAGGTTATCGTCTGGTGTGTCTCGTTTTAGTATTTTTCAATTATTGGTTCAATTAAAAGCAATGTATTTTCAGAAGGTTTCCCTAACGTTTTTTAGAACAATTTATATACATGTAGTGCTTTTAAAACATTTCAAACCTTTTCTTGGAGTGTGTTTGTCATGGAACAGGTTATAAGAGACAATTTGACGAGCAGTTTGTTGACCCAAAGATGGACTGACAAGCAAACAGAAACCTTAGATTGATAAACAACGGTATAAGCCATTGGAAGAATTCACACACCGTAATTAGTGAGACAGCTATCAGCAGGTCAGGAACTTAAAGTATGTATAAGTCGACTTTTATTTCTGACGGTTATATAGAATATCAAGAATTGGGTTTTAATAACCAGCCTATATTTTTTGGCAGTAATTTGCCTCTACAAAAGTACAAGCGTCCTGTATATCTTCGTACCCTTGTTGGAAAACTACATAATCATTACTTTTGCTTGACCAACTCGAAACAGGTTTTAAGAAGTGGAAGCTTTTTGGCACGCAAAGAAACTCGTTTCCTCTTTGTATGTCTGGATTGTAATTTCTTACGATGACCTATTACCGTGTTTTCCGTTGCCGCGAGTGGACTTCATTGCCTAGTCGAAACCGAACAGTTTTTGTGTTTGCTTAAAGTTTCCATGCCATGGCTTGAGAGGACTGGTGTTCTGTGTTTTGTAGACATTACTGTGGCGCGTCCGTGATCCAAGATATAAGCTGCATCCGAAACCGTGGTCTATAGCTAGGTCTAGGTCTTCGCTCCATTGGAAATGTGTGGAGACGCGCAGACAATAGACCTAGCCGTAGCTCTGGAAGCCCGTTTTGGACACGGCCCTATTAGCCTGTCAGTGGCAACGAACGCGCTTTTCCTTCTCCATAGCGCCCCCATTCGACAAGGCATTAGGTCCCACGCTTTCACAGATACGGATACTCCAAATTCCTCTGCAGCAAAATCATTGATTTTTTTTTCTTTTCCGTTGGAAAGCACAAGTAAATGCTCTTCTTTTGTAGCTGTATCGACTGACCAACCCATAGGGTTCACGTAAGTAGGTATCCCATATAACAAAAGCACACTTGTGTTATTGATTATTTCTCGATATAAAGGCAGTAAATTAATGAGCTCCGGAGTTTTAGAGATCTTGGATCATTTGCCCCTGATGCTGGTTAAATTCCAGCATATCGGACAATAAGATAGAGTGAGCAATAGCACAAAGGCACAACGAAAGTAGCTGTTATAAGCTTTCAAGCACCTGAGTTTGGTATTTTGGGTCTTAGTGTGTGGGTGATTCTAAACACGAACGTTGAATTTTCGAATTTCCACTTCTATTTTAGGAGTAATGCCATGATTCAAAATAAGCTGAATTGCTCTTCCGTGGTCTTAAATATATGTGTGTTAGTGTAGACGTGATAAGTTTATTGTGACTTATTTTGATCTAAATACTATTGATAATTCCTTGTACCGCATTTGTTATTTTCTTCTTAACTGATCTTTCATCTTTCATGAGCCACTGTTACATTTTCCTGTCTTTACATGACATGTGTTGCGTGTACTTTATTTCGTCTTAAGGCGCCTTTCCAAATGCACGTTCTTTGAGCGCTTTGCGTTCGTGTATGTGAATTGCAGCAAGTGCTTAATGAAATTGCACCAGAGTGAAACCAAACTAACAGATACAAACTACTGAACGGACCAAATAGGTGCATTTTGGACAGGTGCCCTTAGTCACAAAGCAATGTTGATTCTTCTTTAGTTTGTTTCCATTTTTCTCTTATTGAACTGATTGAGAACAAAAATATCTTTTGAATAGTCTGGACAGTTTTGTAAAGGCAAACTAACACATGAAATTCAGTAGAAATTGTTTTCCAATATACGTGTAAACATCTCATCTATTTTTCATTCTAAAAGGCCCCTCTCTCATATTCTTTCATCTACGAAAGCCCAGTAGCGCCATTAACTACGTGTGTACATTTTCAAACAAATGAAGAATGTTTCTTCATCAAAGATATTTTTTAAGGATTTTACTAGATACATTTTGTCAAGTTAGTTTTTACGAGATCTGTTTTTGAAACATTATTTCTACTGCCGGGAAAATACTGTTTACGAGATGTATTTTTCAATTTTGTTTTTATGAGATATAAAGTAACATTTTTAAGTTGGTTTCAATGTCTCATAAAATCAAGGCTATGTTTTAAAACAAAATTGAAAATGAAAAATAGATACCATAAAACGAACTTGTAAAAATATACTTCAGTTTTTAAAATATATCCTTAATGGTACTCATCGCTAAACACATGAAGTCGGAAAATCCTCGCTGATCCTTCATCATTTAGAAGTCACTGTCCGAGGAAATCGATATTGTTTTCCCGGCCTGTTTAAAACGCAAGGACATACTTCAAGGTATGTTATCTTACCTCGGACGAATCTAGTTACATCTGATGGCAACTGTTCAAGGCAGAGATCGAAGTTGTGGGTCAGCACAGTTTTAATCGCCCATTTCCTGCCTTAAAGGTTTCAATAAAGGGCTGGATGTTACCTGTCACGAATTTTCCTTTAAGCACACTATTTCTATTCCTAAATTTGCACACTTATTGTATACAAAGACAACAAATATTTGGTATTGAATCGGTTTGAATTCTAAAAGGTTGTAGGAGTGGCAGCCATATAATATGTTGCATAATTAAGAGTCATGGCATTGTGACTGCGGATTCCTTTCTGATATTAGAGAAATTTGTTCTTGTTTAATTCATGAAGAAAAATTGTCATTCCTACGACGTTTACGTACCAATGGTAATCTATTAACAAATTTGGTTCAAAAGTAAAAAGAAAAAGAGTATAGAGAGGATGTTAAAACTGATAAAGACAAGCTTTGCAGGGTGTTGAAATGTAGAAAAATAGACCCTGTACTATGTTCTGCTTCAATTCATTGGCACCGTGTCTTTACATTGTGCTAAAATATATAAAGCAGTTTGAGTTAATTTAATCTTTGTCTAAAAACATGGTCCATGGCTTCTTTGCAGGTAGGTGGCCTCCTCTCGAGCCGGGTTTACTTATTCTCAAGTAGTTTACTGCCCTGTGGGCGATATAAACAAACACTTCAGAACTGAATTTCCGAAGGAGAAATTGCCTTTCAGTACATCTTCATACAGAACGAACTGGTTTTCAAACACACTTCAAAGATGGAGTGGCCGGATAGCTTCACATTTTCAGTTCACTCATTTCACTCCGCGGTGGTTTTTTTTCACAAGTTAGAGAGAGTTGGTAAATAAATCATGTGTCGTGCCATGTGGATGAGAGCAATACGGTTTGTTTATCAAATTTGTACCTTATTTGGAATCCAAGAGATCTAATTTTCTGAGGGATTGAATTAGAATTATTTTGTTAACACCACTCCAATACTTCCTGCTTCATTACAGCTTTGAAAATGACAGCATGGCGGGATACACATGGTGATTTACTCCCCGACCGTTGCTACATGGATACCAGATTTCAAATGATTATCTTTTGATCAGAATGTGTGAATCCACGCCAACATCGCCAGATTTAGAGCGCAAGCAACGGACAGATTTTGGCGGACCAATTGAGAATCCTGATGTGCGACGACGCAGCGGGAGCGTCCACCGGCGATGGACTCGACTGCTGCAGCAGTCACGGCGTAGATCTTACCACGCCACCAGGAGAACCCAACCCGAGGGAACAATAGGCGTGGCGCCCCCTTCAGAAACCGATGGACCGGAACAGTACGTGCGCCTCTTGCACATTGCACCCTTCGTGCAAAGTTTCACCTGGCTCAAAAAGAGACTAACGCAGTGCGACTCGCGATGGATGCTGGACTTTTTGGAACTTAATCGGGGCCTGGAAGTTCTGTTTGTGGCGCTGGCCAGACTAAGCCAGCCGACCACCTTGAGTATCGCCCACGCTTACGCCCAGGTCGAAGTTGTGGCCTGCTTCAAAGCCGTGATGAACAGCCAAGATGGCTTGGACTATATCATCGAGGATCAGGAATTCACTCGCAAGTTGGCAACAGGTAAGCTGTTAAGCACCCGTCCCACACGAGACCTGGACCGCACGAGTAGTTTAAGCGCGCGCACACACGTATAGATCCCGTGTTTTCAATGATTGACAAGTTTGCTTTGTGTGTATGATTTATTCGGGTTAACCCGCCTTACCCTTTGGTATCATTACTGGGTCTTCAACTTTAACCCTGTGCCGTTGCACTCTGCATACCCTACCAACCCCACAGTCTTGCATGGAGACCAAACAATCAAAATTGCCCCATGAATCCTGCAAGAGGCTTTCAACCTCGACAGTTGTTTGAAATGATAAAAATTTAATACGGTTTCGGCAGATTCTCAGCTACCACGGTGCCACACTTCATGAGGAACCTGGTCTTTTTAGAAAAATTCGCAATTACGAAGTAGCCTACATGTACAAGTTCCTAAATCATGAAATGTCCTTGCAGTCGTGTGGATAATTTGAGTTTGTAATGACTTGTGAAACTACATTTTTGGACCAAGTGCCAGGTCTAAATGATATTTTTCACTACGTTGTTTACTTCCATCAAGGGTTGACCTCTGACCCAAGATGGAAGGAGACACTTTTACAGGGCTTCGAGTTAGAAAGTTAGAATACCTTGCCTTCTCGTTCCAGTACTGAACTAGCCCCCATTTCTCTCTTATTTCGCATCAACTGTAATCATTGCACGGTGAGAAGAGGACAAGTGCCTTTAGGCCTAATCGGAGGACGGGGAATCTTTTTGTACCGCTTTTTGCGAAACAGGAATCTGCCACCTCGATGGTAACAGTGTTATCCGCCACCTCGATGGTAACAGTGTTATCCGATGAAATTTGCCCAGCCACAAGCTTCAAACTGTACATATGCACCATAAATCCTAATCCCCAACACTGCTGCAGCCTATTCAAGCGAAGGGCACCTGGCTCGACGCTCTGTAAATCCAAGGATGGAGAGCAAATAGTCCAGACCAGTGCGTCATCCTTTATTCATTAAGTCTCTTTCCAAAAAGGAAATCATCATCCGTAAATGTTGAACTGGTTATTTCGAATAAACTCATTACCAAGACCTAGGATTACTCCTCTTTTCTGCAGTCATGTGTCTATGCGCAAACTCCAACGTTTAAATTGTGTCACCTCTGCTGCTTGTCACTATGCGTCTCCAGTATGCACCCAGTTGGATTATTGTAGAAAGCTTTCGAACTGAAAAGTCATTCAAGAAAGCAGTGGATGATTTGGTCCAAACTCGTCCATGTACGTTGGGATTTGTTTTCAGCACGGGCCATGCCATTCTTACTTGGCGCCTCTGGCCGACATGTCCTTCAGAGGTGCGGACAAAACCCTCTTTACAATCGGCTGAAATCTTTTCAAAAATCGCAGCCACGAAGGACGGCGAATTATTGATTCTACAAAAAGAAAAGTTGCCGGACCTGCACGTCATTAGGACCAGCTGCTCTGCCTATTTGAAAAGGGAAATCTCTATGTTATCCAGGCATAAGAAGTCAACGCAACATCAACCGTGGCGCGCTTCGCTTTCGTAGCCAAAATCAATGTCACATTGTTATTGTGTCCCAAGCAAAGCATGTTGCCTCAAGAAAGAAACGAATTGTAATATATATACGTGTCAAATCAGATCTTGCGGCATTAGAGCGCAGAGAAAGGGTCAGTTATATGCATGTACCTTTGGATCATTTCCACTCTGTTGCCGCATAAAGAAAAATTGGGGTTGCGGTGTGCGCTGCACGCTTTTCACTCAATATGGCCGTAAAAGACAGTCTTTCAGTTGGCGCCCACGATAGCCAAGGAAAACTCCACGGTGGTTTTCATGCAGGCGGTCACCTAATACAACAGAGAAGGGTACTGTTCCATTAAAAGTGCTTTTGTTAAGGGTACACGCTGAACTCTAGTTTAGTTTTTGAATTTTTTTCCCTTCGGTTTTGAAATTCAGTTGCGTGTCAGCTTAAAGGCCTATTGGTGTATTTAGGCAGTCTTTTCAAAATCTTCATGAAGATAATCATTGGCTGTTTGCAGTGTGTACAAGTGCATGTACTGACCCCTTTTTATTGGTACTGGCAAGATAACTATTGTAGTACCCATATCATCAGTAAAGAACGCGATAAGCAGGAATCCACACAAGTGACCACACTTCACACCTAAAACAGCATTCAAACATCTTTCAAGTTACGGCCTTTGCTCGCCCAAGTTGAACCCTCGGGGGCGTACGAGGCACGCGGTAGTTTCTTGCAAATCATCACAAGAGGGGAACACACCTGCAAAAGTACCTCACTGGCAGCCCTCTTAAGTGCTCGGTATAGAAAGTCACTTCCGAGCGCAATTTTTAATTAGCGGTTGGGCCCCAATCTTTCCCCAGGGTGTTGGTCCATAGGGTCCTGGGTACTTTCCTGGTTTCGGCACCCTCGCCAAAAGCCGCACCCTATCCGCCCCTAGTCATGCGGGCTGAGAGTAAACAGCAGTATGCTAACGGAAAGAAAATGCTTTATAACGGAGAGACAAATATTTCAATGGCCGGAGTATGGGCGAATTGCCCCGAGATTTTGTGGGTTGTTTTCGGACACCGTCCTGCGAACAAACAAGCAGTGAATGAAGCGGTGTGTGTTTGCGTGTGCAGTTGGCAAGACACCACTATTATCTGTGCTTTGCTAATACGATGGGAACAGATGACAACTCATAAAATCAAAATGCTATCATTGCCCTGACCATAACGACGACCTACGCATCGTCTTCCTTAAGGCTAAATTCGCTTTTAAACATGCTATTTGCGTAAATTGTATTTTTACACTCTTGCCCTATGTTTAGTAAAAAAAACCAAGAGCAGTCTCTGTCTGAAGACGTATATTAGGCTGCAAGTTTAACACAATCCAACACTTTGAAATACAAAAAATAACGAAAGATTTTATTGTTGGAGTTGGCTTTGTTTATTGTAAATGAATACAATCCTGATCAGCGAGCATTCATTCCGTAATATACAGTCTCATGCAGTCGTCTCTATTCCCAATTAAAGCATCAATAATAGCCATGGTTGTCGGACAGGGTTGAAGTAGACGGGGAAACATTTCCCATACCTTGGAATCGCCTCATTAACCTTACCTCCTGAGCTCAAGAAAAGGTCCTGTAACCACCCCACGTCGCGTTTGACCCACAGACGGCTAATGACTGTATAGGATATTTGTCTGGCCGAACATGTAACCCTCTCATTGAAGGGAAAAGGTAATTATCGTCCGCTTGTAAATCTTCCACATTTAAGAGGCAGACAAAAGGTCCAAGAGCCTCTCTGTCCTCTGCTGGTTAGATAGACACCTCTCAAGTCAGTGTCACAAACAACTCTCAGACTGTTGACATGCTTTTTGTTGTTATCACTGAAGACTAACACTGGCTATCTTTCCCCTACTGTTGCAATTCGACATCTTAACCTTGTATAACATACATCACCAATACTTCACTAAAGTACCTCTAAATAGCCCTCCCCCTAAAAAAGCTCTTGCGCTCTTGGGTAAGCCTATATTGCTGCATCTACATGCAGTTTTCATCACTACATGGCATGGCCTATTGCCGGACAAGTTGTCGCGATGGAGATAAAATATCAAAACACGAGTAATGAACAATATTTTAACCACTTTATAGCTTAAGTATACACATCATCTTTAACGTCGCCCAATATCCCTAATAAGGCTACGTGAATGATAATGTTTATCCATTCCTGTAACTCGTGCTACCTTCTGTTCACTACACATTGAAATCTGCAATGTTGACGTTTGACTTGGAAGTAAATACCCGTATCGTAGGAGCTGTGTTTAACTTCAAACAATGCTCAAAGTTAGTCAAATATTGTAGCATTCCTGCTCAAACTGATCCATGGTGAGTCAGAGAGCAGGCCACCTTTAGATAAGACTGCAGCGTATATTAGACTCGTTGGACTGACAGTGGAGAAAAAAGTACACGTACAGAAATTGAATAGAAAAAAGAACACGGCAAGGGGGCGTAGAAAGTGGAAATCGAGACTGCTTGTCAAGCCTCCACAAATAGGGCTTGAAGTATGACACTTCTATCTCATGATTCGCAAAACTTCTGTTAGAATGAAGAATGTAAGCCCATGTTGTTGTGGCCAAAATAGTTCCTCCAACATCTTAGATGTGTGTGTTCCCAATTTCAGACTTTATGCAGGCTGGATTTACCTCGATAAATCGAAAGTGACAGGTGCATCCCACGTATTCGCTTGCTTCTAAAACCCAAGATGATTTTCTTTTTTTTTCTGTAGAATCGTCTCTTATACAGTATATGTTCTTATCCACAGTGCTTCACTGGCTGATCACAGAAGCATTCAAAATCTGCTGCCATGGGAAGATAATCCAAACGAAATCCCAGCTCAGCTCCCAACCCCACTTTTCTAACATCTCAAAGAAGCCACCTACTTTTCCTTTGCAAGGTTGTTCAGGTCAACGGAGACCGTATATTCCATTAATCCTTGTCTTGGTTTTGTTGGGGCGCACCGGGGAATCTTATCGTGAAAAGGAACGGTGCCTTCTAATCCTAGTAACATCCATTACTGGCGTTTGCAGAGAGACTGGACAAAGCGAAAGTAAACAAGAGGATGGGCCCATAATGTTCCCAGGAAGACGCCTCCTTGACTTGGGTCTACGAAAACCGAAAACTGGAGCAAGCAAACCACCTGTATACATGCATAGAATGTAGACTATGAGAGAAAACGTGGTACATGTTCGGTTGAGATAATTCATTTCTCACTCATTTCCACTAGAAAATTTACACAATTAACGTTGAATTAGAAATGCTTTGAACTCAGACAATCATGTAAACAATTCTTTTCGGAATTACATGTAGTTATTTATTGGGTTTTTTTTATTCATGTCTTGTTTAGTCATCATTTGAGTTTCATCTTCTTTTCGCTTTTAAGTAGAGGCGCATGTATCCGAAGCTGAAGGTCTTGCCTCATGTAAATCTAATCTTTCCAAGCTATCCAAATGGGTTTTCGGCAACTCGTCAAACTTTTGCCGATATTTTACAGCATAAACTCAACCATGGTGAAGAGTGTCTTCAATGTGCTACAAAGTCTTTAATTCACTGGGTGAACGATATTCAGGGTTCAAAACTTGAACTGTAAAGACTGGAAAAACCGTGCGAACAAGTATCGAAGGTTAATCCGCACGAAACAAATATAAATACCATTGAAACTGTAGCCTCGTCAGGTTAGGTTTCATGCATGAAACGAGGTAGCGCAAAGCTGAGTGTTACCGACACGCTGCGATTGAAATCAGATCATTTAGCGGTGTTTGCTCAAACGTCTTAACTAACGCTGTTCGTTTTTGTTCTTTTCTCACGCAGCGTTGGACACGGACAATGCCACCGTGAAGAAACAAGTTTTCGAGCTCCTCTCCGCTTTATGCATGTACAATGCGGAGGGGTACAATAGGGCTATCGATGCACTAGACCATTACAAGGTAAGGACACCCAAATGTTGATGTCTGGTTGCTGAATCTGCTGCCATTTTGGTCACGTCCCCGAACTGCTTCTAAGGAGAAACTGCAGTGTGGTGGCGTGCACCAGCCTAAAATGTATTCATTCCATCCGTGACGGTCTCACCTCGTCGCCTCCTTGCAAGCTTTGTTAACAATCCTTGACGTCATTCATTGGTAATTATCAGCGTGAAACTCTACGTCCAGACTAGCTTTTGTATATAAAGAATTGGTAAAAATGTACCTCAAAATTGAGTTACACCAAACGAAAAATTTTACAAATGGACGGCTCACCCACGCCTGAATGAAATGTGCGACCGCCTTGTTAATGCATGGGTCCCTTGCTCGGTGGTGAATGTAACGGTTGAAAGCAAGCGTATAGCGTGTTGACGCTATCACTATACAAGGAACATTGGACTGGCTGATGGATATGCCATATAGAGATATGTGTGCTGTTGTATGTTTTCGAAATGTCGAGTTGTGTATGCAGAAGTCGTCTTAAATATTTGCGCACAGATGTGATGACCTGGCAAGTTGGCAACTGAGGTGTGACGTCGGGGGGGGGCGTGAAGGTATAAAATAGTTTCTGGGGCTCAGTATGTACATGAACTAGCAGTAGCCCGTGTGTAGTTTATGTTCATTTTCAGATTTGTAACCGGGGAAGGCACCTGGGTGGACGGGCACTGAAGGGGGGGGGCGCGCTTGGACTGGCACATGCCTTCTGTAGTGCGCCACTGCCTAAAATGCCAATACTATTAGCAATAACATGTACATGAAGGTACATGTATAAATCATCCTCTATAAAGGCTGATTTATACATGTACCTTCATGTGCATGTTCCTCAAACCTGAAATGTAAGGGTGAGTGGAAATTACAAATGTAGTGTATTAGACATTAGTTGAAGCTTTGGAATTGGTATTTTTTTGTGTACAGTATGTAAGCAAGCGTGAAACATAATACTGTAAATGGTATAGTTGGTATAGCTTTTAGTTAGAATTTGAGATTGTTTAAAAAGAAAGTGATGTGCATAAATGTGACTTTCAGTGAACAACACCTGTTATTGGTGAAAAGATCCGTCCCGGTCGAACTTCCAACCTTTGAACTGTTCGCGTGACTCTGGTTCCGATGAACTCACTTCGATCTGCATGGTGTCCTAAAGTGAATGGATAAATGATGAATTGTAGCTGCAACAGCAGGGCACTTGCACTGTTTGCCACTGGGTTCGTCGGTGTTGTAGGACAGACAGAACCCAAGAAAGATCTTTGTTTTGTTCTGATTCGCGCTTGACAAATGGTGTCTCTCCTCATTTGATCTTCAGGAGGGCCAAGAAGACAAGGTCTTAGACGAGTGTTGTATTGAACTATGACAGAACACTTGTTCAAAGAATTTTGTAGGCAAACATTTGGAAGTGGGAGTCTCAGACATTCTGTACTTTTTTGAGTGGGATTCGCAGAAATGTTGACACACAAGCTCCTTGAGTTCGTCTGCTTCCTAACTGGACTTTAAGTCAGAAATCGCCTGGTCCGTTATGGTAGCCTGTTGTCTTGATGACCTATTAGGCGGGGTCAACTACACAAATGTCTACAAGCGCACATGTGTGTTCAAGTGCTCTTCAAGTTAGGAACTAGGACAATTTCATAGAACCGCTGAGCGCAGAAATTTGCACAACCAAAAACAAATTGCCCAGCAAAAACGTACTACCAGCTAAAATGTCGACAGTGCGTATTGTATTTTTTGTTACTGGTTCCCAGCTGATGTTCGTTAGCGCAGAAATTATGTCTTCAGCAATGTCTGCTTAATGATGTAAAAAAGTTTAGTTGTCACTGCACATAGAAGCTGATGATGCCTCTGAACCTGGGCAAAAGTCTGATGACCTCATTCATGCATGAGGTCATGTCTCAAAGCTAATTTACGGCTGAAAGTGTTCAATGGCTGGAAAGGGAAGATGCTGGCAAGCGACTGTGTGAACTTCCCATAGACTCATGTACTACTCACAGTCACAGCTGGTTCATTTGGACACGGCCATAGACTCATGTCACGTACGTAAATAGCTCATCCCCTATTTCGACTTTATGTCCCGTACATTATAGTACGCCACGTTATTACAAGCATGTGTGCTTTATTTTCGTAATTATTCGGACATTGTAGGTATTTTACGTTCGTAACCTGTTTAAACCCCTAGTCCTTGCCTGCGATTTCATGGACTCATCTGCGTACGTTGGCAAATAAATCTGGGCATGATTCGGCAGGTTTTCCCTTGACAAAGTTATTGACGTTGCGTGGTCCTGTTTGAGTTTGGGATGTGTAGAGAAGAAATAATACACTAATCGTGACTTGATTGATTGATTGATACCCCCTAAGTAGGTTGTTTGGTTCGATCAACGCGTGGTCAGGACACTTCACCTCTGATGCCAACGTTTTTTATTTGTGCTCAAAGACCTTTTGACGCACCCGAGTTGCATGGAATTGGTTTACTGTGAAGGGTAGCTACGAAAGTACCTGCAACTTTGCTTAAAATGCTCTCAGATTTATGGCCAGATACATAGTTTAAGAATGCAGAACTGAAACTCGCCGGAAGACTGTGACTATGAGTGGGATTTTCTGCTGAACATGGCAGTACATGTAACTTGTTCATATGTAAGGACCTCGTATACTCGTTCGTGCTGTGGAGGTAAGTTGGGGGACGTTTGTTCTTTATGTATCCGAAGTAACCCTTTTAAAATCATTTCCTGCTTACCTCTGGGACAGACTCGATAGCTGTTTTGTGAATTTGAAAGATCTCCTTTATAAGGTCATCCCCTGAAAACGGGATTGCACTGACCAACAAAGATAAAAGCTGCACACTCTGCCTGGCTCAGTTAAGAATCTGTTCGTTCACATTTCAATTACTGCCAAGCACGACCAAGTAATCGAAGAATGGTAGCTTTGAAACAATTGCCACGAATTCAGGGGAACTCGTGGCTCACATATTTCTTTATTCACGTTCAGTTTGCGGTCTTAAATCTCCTGGAACTTGTTGCTGCTGCGACACATTCCATTTTCCACCTTCTTTTGTTGCCTCACCGTACCACCCCATCACGTTGACAATACAACAGGAATCACACTTGTCATCTCAAACACAATAATCAGAATATAAATCATTTGGTAAATTCCACTAGTTCTAAAGGTAATCGTGCAAATCAGGACTCCTCTTTCAACTTTGAAGTTCCGCAGTTCACTCATATAGTTTTACTTCAGGCGCTATGCTTGTTGTAAAAATAATAGACATTGTATCTGTGACCCCCGTACTATCTCTGCTTTCACTGCAAGAATGTAGTAAAAGATGGCTACAAAAGGAATCGACCGACATTGGGAATGGCGCTGTGCATGTACATGAGAATAGGGTGATGATTATATTGGGCAGAAAGTGTTATGACTTACGAGAGAACAGACATCTTGAGAGGAACCTTAGGGAACCGTGTGTACCCAACTCCCTCCACATTGCAATGGGCTTTGGTCACGTGAGCGAGCATGAGGGTGAAAACCAGGTAAGGTGCTCGATATGAGATAGTCTGGAGCCGGGAAATTAGCGTAAACATTATTGGAGCAGAGGTTATGACACCATAGAAAAAGAACCCTGATCCACTGTTTATTGGTGTACATATATAGGGATGCTTTATTCAGCTAAGCAAAGTTTAGGTAACAACGAGAAACGGCCTTTAAGAAGCAAGTTCGTGTGAAAAGAAGACCGTTCCGACCTGTTCTAGCACATTTGTTGTACTGGGGAAAATAGTCTTTGTGGTTCCAGGACATTTAGAGGAATGTTGTTTTGAATGAGCATTCCATAGTTGGGATTGATGTTTACATGAGAAACTTCGAATTTCTATCTTCTGTCCTCAAAGCTGCACCTGTTGATTTGTCACAAGTAAACGGTAGACCCATGGAGTACCCTTCCATTCACTGTTCCCACCCGTCTCGAATTCTAACCTGGTTTTTGACAAACATCTCGCAGTTTGCCCGTGGAATCAACAAAGACCACCCAGCTTGTTTTCGACAAATTCTTCATCGTTCTGTGCTTTCCAGGTTCTTGATTGGCTGTAAATATTTATTTCCTTGTCAGATTAGATATCGTATTTGCGTTGGGAGTTTGCAGTGGGTTGTTAAATCAGGTTTTTGCTTGACAAACTCAGAACTGCAATACAATGTCTAATTACACAGAGTCGTATATGCCACAGTAAGGGTTCTGCATGCCTGAGCCCTAGTAGGCCTATAAATTTAACGAAGTGTGTCATATTCTCTTCCTCTATAAAATGTAACTTTTCTTTCACGTAACACCGAGCACTTTCGCAAGCCAAGTGGGTAGGATGTAATTATGGGAGAAACATTCATCTAAGTCTGGACCCATAAAAACGCACTGAAACTATTGCCCGAGAAATTCTGATAAGTGGGGTATTTGTTTCCTTTCTCTGAATGATACGGCGACCACCGAGATCTACACTGTAAGACCTCGGGTGTTAAAATCAACACTTTGGGGGTGTTATCAGAAGACCACACTATAGGGTGTTACTTTAACACTCATGATGTTACTTTGCACACCTGTAAGTGTTACAGTGCATTAGACGGTGTTACAAGTAACACCAAATAACATCAAAATTTTAACACCAGTGAAAAGTGTTGGTGTAGTCTTCTGATAACACCGGGGGTGTTAAATTTAACACCCTAGTTTTTGCAGTGTATAGCTATCTATTAACCTTTACATCGCAGAGGTGGTATGCACACATTTGCTCTCCTGAACATGGAAACTTTGTCCGTATTTCCCTTCCTGCGGACCACCACGAACGGAAACTCAAAACTGCAAAAAGGGTTTTTCAGCGTTCAGTTTAAACAGATGTTCGCGGAAAAGTGCACCTTCAAAGTCTCTCAGCATTCGGGTGCACATGAATCTACCTGTAGAAAGACGCATGTTCAACAATGCATGCGCCGCTGAGGACTTGGAATATTTCCTG